TGCTAGGGGGGTGGAGGTAAATTTCACTTTCCAGTACCGTCCATGAAAAGGGTCAAACAACCGAGTCGCAACATTTTCAAATTTTGCAGTGTTGTGCTTTTTTTCGGGGTTCTGTTTTTCCTTTTTAACTTATGTCTACTAATAATTTTTCATGTGGACTCAATTAGGTTTTCTTACTTTAAAAGAATTTTTTTATTTGACCCTGTTTTACTTTCAGGCTCCCTTTCTTATTAAATGTTCCTTTCTGTGGGCTGGTGCAAGGGTTTCCATATTTCTTTAACTTCCTTTTTATGTGGCCCTTGTGACTCAAATAGGTTTGCCTTACTTGTATATTATGTTTCATATTTTAAATTTCGTTTGATGTGTCCACTTGTAAGTCTTAAAAGTTACCAACACATATATTTCAAGTTTTATTTACGGCGGTCATATGTGACTTGAACAGACTACCCTTACCCATATTTTAAGTTTTATATACTGTGCCAATTATGACTGTAACAGTATAGTATATTCATAAATTAACTTGATAAAATACCCATTCGGTATTAAATATTCCATACGATCTGTCCAATTTATGAAAATAACGTTTTTAACCTCCCGATGGTATTTACGGGGAAGAAAATTGTTTTGGCAATTTAGTGGTCATTAGCCTCGACGTGACCTATGGAAATTAGTTGCTCCCTCCCGCCATCTTGTTTGACGCGAAGCTATCCGAATGAACCCAACATAATTGTATGACCACTCAGCGCATTGTCAAATGCCTTGTGCACCGAACAGTATATCATCTGAACTAAAAATAATGACTACTGCACCGAACAGTACAACATCTGAACTGAACATAATGACGGTATCACACAACAGTTTGTGTTCACTACTGAACATAAAGACCATTGCACCGAACAGTACATCATCTGAACTGAACATATAATGACTTCTGCACCGAACAATTTTTCATCTGAACTGAACATAATGACGGTATCACACAACAGTTTTGTGTTCACTACTGAACATTATGACCTCTGCACGAACAGTACATCATCTGAACTGAACATAATAACGGTATCACACAACAGTTTGTGTTCACTACTGAACATAATGACCTCTGCACCGAACAGTATATCATCTGAACTGAACATAATAACGGTATCACACAACAGATTGTGTTCACTACTGAACATAATGACCTCTGCACCGAACAGTACATCATCTGAACTGAACATAATTACGGTATCACACAACAGTTTGTGTTCACACCAGAACATAATGAACTCTGCACCGAACAGTATATCATCTGAACTGCACATAATGATAGTACTATTCAACAGTTCTATTTCACGACTGAACAGTCTAAATAAAGCACCCCAACACAGCATGTCATTGCAACTGAAAATAATAAAAGTATCACCCAATAATACACTGCCTCAGCCAAACGAAATGATAGTACCACTCAAAAGTAAAATATAAATTGGGCAGGTTTTTAATTTCTGCATTCAGGAGACATATAATTTCATCTACATGTACATTAAGACGAAGGGACAATGTTCATGTTTAGATTACTTAGTATCATGGAAAGGATTTAGTAATTTAGCAGGAAAGCGGACATCAATGAATATCAAATATATTAGACATATTCGCTTTCATGAAGTTGAGATTTTGTAATATTAAACAATAAATAATAATCTGAATGATTAAAAAACTTTTTTTCTGATGATGACGATTGCGATGATTAATTTCCAAAGTATGTTAATTGCTGACGAAATGCGCAAGAGTTTGGTTACTTTTCATCAAATGTACAGATCCCTACGTGACCCTATTCCTTTCAAATGAATTATCTGATAAGTTTGTTTATCACCACAAAATGTTTATTAAACGCATGTCAATATGTTTGTGGTTAAATCTATTGTTATTCAATGAAATGGTCAGGTAGGGATCTATCAATTATAAAAGGCTAAGTTAACGTGTTGAAATTATTTATTCTGCTTGATATCTGATATTAAGATATATAAAGTACGTTGGCCGAGTGGTAAAGGCGTTGGACTTAAGTTCCTATGGACGAATGTCCGCGTGGGTTCGAACCCCACACGTACTAAACAATTTATTTACATGCACTAAACATTTTGTATATTATGTTTCATATTTTAAATTTCGTTTGATGTGTCCACTTGTAAGTCTTAAAAGTTACCAACACATATATTTCAAGTTTTATTTACGGCGGTCATATGTGACTTGAACAGACTACCCTTACCCATATTTTAAGTTTTATATACTGTGCCAATTATGACTGTAACAGTATAGTATATTCATAAATTAACTTGATAAAATACCCATTCGGTATTAAATATTCCATACGATCTGTCCAATTTATGAAAATAACGTTTTTAACCTCCCGATGGTATTTACGGGGAAGAAAATTGTTTTGGCAATTTAGTGGTCATTAGCCTCGACGTGACCTATGGAAATTAGTTGCTCCCTCCCGCCATCTTGTTTGACGCGAAGCTATCCGAATGAACCCAACATAATTGTATGACCACTCAGCGCATTGTCAAATGACTTGTGCACCGAACAGTATATCATCTGAACTAAAAATAATGACTACTGCACCGAACAGTACAACATCTGAACTGAACATAATGACGGTATCACACAACAGTTTGTGTTCACTACTGAACATAAAGACCATTGCACCGAACAGTACATCATCTGAACTGAACATAATGACTTCTGCACCGAACAATTTTTCATCTGAACTGAACATAATGACGGTATCACACAACAGTTTGTGTTCACTACTGAACATTATGACCTCTGCACCGAACAGTACATCATCTGAACTGAACATAATAACGGTATCACACAACAGTTTGTGTTCACTACTGAACATAATGACCTCTGCACCGAACAGTATATCATCTGAACTGAACATAATAACGGTATCACACAACAGATTGTGTTCACTACTGAACATAATGACCTCTGCACCGAACAGTACATCATCTGAACTGAACATAATTACGGTATCACACAACAGTTTGTGTTCACACCAGAACATAATGAACTCTGCACCGAACAGTATATCATCTGAACTGCACATAATGATAGTACTATTCAACAGTTCTATTTCACGACTGAACAGTCTAAATAAAGCACCCAACAGCATGTCATTGCAACTGAAAATAATAAAAGTATCACCCAATAATACACTGCCTCAGCCAAACGAAATGATAGTACCACTCAACTGTTTATTTTCATGGTTGAACATGATAAGAAGAGCTATTTTAACCGAACATAACAACTGTCACACCCTACAACATATCTTTTTAACTCAACATAATTGTGTTACCACATGCCTGTTTGTTTTAAGAACTGAACAGAACGACTAATGCACCCGGCAATACATTGACGTGACTGAATAAAATGTAATCACCACACAACATTACACTTCAATAACTGAGCGCATTTGGACTTCCACCCAGTATATTGGGATTTTGACCAAGCCTATTGTATCTCGGACTCAACAGAATGACATTTAACCATGTATATCAGTCATTCTACACATAAGATAGTCCAGGCGTTCCATAGTTTACCCTATTGCACTATAACGGTCAGTGTAACTAATTCAAAATAACAAGATGAATTTAATCACATCTTACTGCGCACATCTCACGGAATTTACCGAACATTTATCGAATATTAATATATTCTGTGCATTGACCGTATAATCAGTATGGAATTGACAGGTTAATAAAATCAAACAATATCAGATAAGTTTGTTTATCACCACAAAATGTTTATTAAACGCATGTCAATATGTTTGTGGTTAAATCTATAATTATTCAATGAAATGGTCAGAGTAGGTTATAAAAGGGTAAGTTAACGTGTTGAAATTATTTAGCATAATATATATAAAGTACGTTGGCCGAGTGGTTAAGGCGTTGGACTTAAGTTCCAATGGACGAATGTCCGCGTGGGTTCGAACCCCACACGTACTAAACATTTTATTCACACGTATTAAACATTTAATGTAGAGAGAGAAAAAAACAACCAGTAATTCTGGCTCATATATTAAACATGATTATATGCCAACTATAACTAAAATTAATTAAACATATGCGTTGTATTTAATATTGTTTAATTATTTGTTCCTTTCAAGAGACTTTGTTGGAAAAATAAAGATTATTTGCCACCATCAAACGGTTTATTATATGTTTTTAATTTTACTTTATCAGGAGACACACTTCAACTTAATCATTTAAACTATATGGTATATGGGTGAAACGATTAGCTTGAAAACTTGGGCAAAATATGAAAATATATACAGAAGAGAATAATACGGTGGCACAAATGTGATAAGCGTGTGTTTTTATTTATCTCGTTGCCAGTCGTGGCCACGAGTTACTAAGTCGTGGCCACGAGATAGCTAAGTCCTGGCCACGAGATACTATGTCGTGGCCACGAGTAAATATGTCTTGGCCTCGAGATACTATGTCGTGGCCACGAGTTACTAAGTCGTGGCCACGAGATACTATGTCGTGGCCATGAGATACTATGTCGTGGCCACAAGTGACTAATCGTGGCCACGAGATAGCTAAGTCGTGGCCACGAGATACTATGTCGTGGCCACAAGTTACTAAGTCGTGGCCACTAAGTAACTAGTGGTCACGACTAAGTAAAAGTAACTAGTGGCCACGACTTAGTAAATCGTGGCCACGACATTGTATCTCGTGGCCACGACTTAGCTATCTCGTGATCATGGCTTAGTAACTCGTGGCCACGACATGGTATCTCGTGGTCACGAGATAAATAAAAATACACACATGCCACCTTTGTACCATCGTAGAATAACACAAATACACATGTCAATGCTTATGTTTAAATCTATTGTTATTCAATGAAATGTTCAGAGTAGAGTAGGGATCTATCAATTATATGGAAGCCTAATAAAATGATAAGATTGCGGGCAAGTTAACGGGGTGAAATTATTTATCAAACTTGTTATTAAGCACGGTACGTTGGCCGAGTGGTTAAGGCGTTGGACTTAAGTTCCAACGTGGGTTCGAACCCCACACGTACAAAACATTTTATTGTAGATAGAAAAAAAATCATAACAACCAATTTATCTAGCTGAAATATAAACATGTAGATCCGTCTTGAATTATATATATTTTTGTCAAAAAATGTGTGTGTTGTTTATAAAATAAAATCATTATTATTATTATTATTATTATCATTATTATTATTACGATGGTGGTGATGATGATGATGATGATGATGATGATTAATTTTCAATGTATGTTCAATGAAATATTTAATTAAATATGACCAATTGCGCAGGAGTAAAGTTATATTACATCAGATTTTTACGAAAGGTAAATAAACTGGCAAGATTACGATCGGTAGTGCAAACAACATTAGAATTTATTAAATAGCAAATATATGTATATAAAGTACGTTGGCCGAGTGGTTAAGGCGTTGGACTTAAGTTCCAATGGACGAATGTCCGCGTGGGTTCGAACCCCACACGTACTAAATGTTTTATGGTATGTAGAAAAACCCACAGTAAATTTGACTCAAATATAAAACATATGAATGTGGTTTATCCTATTTGAATTATATGATTTTTTCCGCCATAAAACGGTTTATGTATCTTTTTACATAAAATATAAATTGGGCAGGTTTTTAATTTCTGCATTAAGGAGACATATAATTTCATCTACATGTACATTAAGACGAAGGGACAATGTTCATGTTTAGATTACTTAGTATCATGGAAAGGATTTAGTAATTTAGCAGGAAGCGGACATCAATGAATATCAAATATATTAGACATATTCGCTTTCATGAAGTTGAGATTTTGTAATATTAAACAATAAATAATAATCTGAATGATTAAAAAACTTTTTTTCTGATGATGACGATTGCGATGATTAATTTCCAAAGTATGTTAATTGCTGACGAAATGCGCAAGAGTTTGGTTACTTTTCATCAAATGTACAGATCCCTGCGTCACCCTATTCCTTTCAATTTGAATTATCAGATAAGTTTGTTTATCACCACAAAATGTTTATTAACACATGTCAGCGTTTGTAGTTAAATCTATTGTTATTCAATGAAATGGTCAGAGTAGGGATCTATCAGTTATAAAAGGCTAAGTTAACGTGTTGAAATTATTTATTCTGCTTGATATCTGATATTAAGATATATAAAGTACGTTGGCCGAGTGGTTAAGGCGTTGGACTTAAGTTCCAATGGACGAATGTCCGCGTGGGTTCGAACCCCACACGTACTAAACATTTTATTTACATGCACTAAACATTTTATTGTAGAGAGAAAAAACAAGCAGTAATTCTGACTCAAATATAAAGCATATGAATTTGGTATATCCTATTTGAATTACTTGATTTTTGCCAGCATCAAGTGGTTTATGATATTTTTTATTTAGATAAATTGAAAATCTAACATGAAATTACACGTTTTGCAATCGCTGACTATGTTGGAAAATATAAAAGATATGAAATGGTTTATCCTATTTGAATTATATGGGTTTTTCCGCCATAAAACGGTTGATATATTTTTTTAAATAAAATTAAAATTGAACAGATACACTAGAAGGCATGATGGTGGAATGTGTTATGAGACACTTGATTGTGTGGGGTAATGTGGACTGAGACACTTGAATGCGTCTGGCATGTGTAATGATACACTAGAAGGTATGAATGATGTGTAACCAAAAACTTGAAGTCATGGGATAATGTATAATAAGGCACGTGCAGACATGGGGGTAATGTGTAATGAGGCACTTGAAGGTGTGGGGGTAATTTGTAATGAGGCACGTGCAGACATGTGGGTGATGTGTAATGAAGCATTTGAAGCATTGGGGTAATGTGTAATGAGACACTTGAAGGTATGAGGGTTATGCGTAATGAGACACTTGAAGACCCGGTGGATGTGTTACGAAATACTTGAGGGCATGGTGTTATGTATAATTAGGCACGTGCAGACATGAGGATAATGTGAAATGAAGCAGTTGAAGCATTGGGGGTAATGTGCAATGAGGCACTAAAATACATGGAGAAATGTAAAATAAGACACTTGAATGCATGGAGATATTTTTTATTAGACACTTGAAGGCGCGGGGGTTATTTGTAACCAAAACACTTGAATGCATGGGGAAAAGTGTAATGAGACACTTGGAGGTATGGAGAAATGTGTAATGAGACACTTGGAGGTATGGAGAAATGTGTAATGAGACACTTGGAGGCATGGAGAAATGTGTGATGAGACACTTGGAGGCATGGAGAAATGTGTAATGAGACACTTGGAGGCATGGAGAAATGTGTGATGAGACACTTGGAGGCATGGAGAAATGTGTAATGAGACCACTGGAGGCATGGAGAAATGTGTTATGAGACACTTGAAGGCGTGGAGAAATGTGTAATGAGACACTTGAAGGCGTGACGGTACTGTGTATTTAGATACTAGAAGGATGATGTGTAACGAAACACTTGAAGGCATGGGGTTTTGTATAATTAGGCACTTGCAGACATGGGGAGGCGCGTGGGTAATGTGTAATGAGACACTTGAATGCGTAGGTTAATGCGTAATGAGACACTTAAAGACCCGTAGGAAATGTGAAAGAGACGGGACATGTGAATTGATTCACCCAAAAACTATGTGAAAATTATTATTCATTATTCAATGAAATGGTTAACGTGTTGAAATTATTTATCTTACTTAATATCCGATAATTGTACTCGTATATAAAGTACGTTGGCCGAGTGGTTAAGGCGTTGGACTTAAGTTCCAATGGACGAATGTCCGCGTGGGTTCGAACCCCACACGTACTTAACATTTTATTCACACGTACAAAACATTTTATTGTAGAGAGAAAAAAGCAAGCAGTAATTCTGACTCATATAATAAATATTATTAAACATATGCATTTGGTATATTCTATTTGAATTATATGATTTTTGCAAGCATCAAACGGAATAAATCATTTCATTTTAGTAAAATTGAAAACCTAACATTAAATTACACGTTTTGCAATCGCTGACTTAGCAAACATATTTGAGCCTTGTCACGACAGTCTGATCAGGATCCATGCTGTTCGCTTACCAACCCTTTTACAAGTAGAGAATATGATAGCGAACAGCATGGATCCTGATCAGACTGCTGGTCTGGATTCATGCTGGTCGCAAACCCATTATGTTGGTTTTGTCGTGACACGGCTCATTTAATACTACATTGTATTTTGTCTTTGTATAAAAGGCTCAAATTCTATAAACTTTATCTTACTTAATGACCAATCATAACGGACATTTTATGCCAACTATAACGAAAATTAGTTTAACATATGCGTTGTATTGCATGTAAATTAACAATAATTTGTTCCTTTTAAGTGACTATGTTGAAAAAATAAATAATTATTTTGCCACCATCAACCGGTTTATAATATGTTTAAATTTTAGTTTAATTAACTTCACCATTCAAGGGACACACTTTAAATTAATCTTTCAACTAAATGGTATATGGTTGAAACGATTAACTTGAACACTTGGTCAAAATGTGAAAATATATACAGAACAGAAGAACACATGTCACTGTTTGTGGTTAATTCTATTGTTATTCATTAAAATGGTCAGAGTAGGAATCTATCAATTATATGAAAGGCTAATAAAGTGTTGTGCAGGCCCCCCTCCCCCGCCCCCCCAAAAAACACAAAAAACAATGAAATTTTTAAGTTAAAGTGTTATAATTATTTATGTTACTTGAAATTAGTAGTAGCGTATATAAATAAGTTGGCCGAGTGGTTAAGGCGTTTAAATTAAGTTCCAATAGACGAATGTCCACGTGGGTTCGAACCCCACACGTACTAAACATTTTATTCACACGTACTCATCATTTTATTAACACGTAGATATTAATATGGTAGATCCTCTTGAACTGTATCTTTTTTTTCCCACCACTAAACGGTTTATATTTAAATAAAACTAAAATTGAGCAGTTTAATTATTATTTTCTATACATTCACTTCTATGTAGTTGATAAATAGTTATACAGTAAATAAATATCTTTTGTCAATGTAATAATTTCTTCTTCTTCCTCTTCTTCTTCATCATCATCATCATCATCATCATCATCATCATCATCAACAACAACAACATCATCATCATCATCATCATCATCATCATCATCATCATCATCATCATCATCATCATCATCATCATCATCATCATCATCATCATCATCATCATCAATATCATCATCATCATCATCATCATCATCATCATCATCATCATCATCATCATCTTTAACATCATCATCATCATCAATGTCATCATCATCATCATCATCTTCATTAGCATCATCATCTTCTGCTTCTGATGATGATGATGATGATGATGATTGCCCAGTGTATGTTTATAAGATATAGCGCAAGAGTATAGTCTCATTACTATGGTGGTCGATAGCGTCCATTTTAAAAACACCAGAAATTTAACCGTCAGTTTATAAAATGTCGCGAGCAACAACTTTTAAATCCGCTAGGTTTTATGTCAAAGTTGTATAAAATGTCGCGGCGTACAGAAACTCTCGGGTTCTGCTGTCACACTTCTGTCGTAAAAAGTCGAGTTTTATGAAGGAAACCGGGACATTTTCTTTCAACATAGTAGACTAAGTCACGCAAACATATGTCTACTTTAGGTAACCGATATCGACCATTTTAATCCGCGATATTTTGCTTTGATGCATACCTTGTTAAATTAAGCCTCTGAAATGTCTGTGCGCAAAAAGTCGCGGCTAAAAGTCACGGTTTTCTTACAAAATGTCGCGGGTAAAAAATCGCAGACTTTGTTATGAAAATTCGTTTTTGAGAACAAGAAGTTTCGGGATATATTTATGCTCGGTAATGTCTCTGTGCAAAATGTCGCGGCCAAAAGTCACGGTTTTCTTACAAAATGTCGCGGGTAAATGGTCGCGGCTTTGATATGAAAATTCGTTTTTGAGAACAAGAAGTCGCGGCATGTATTTTTTCTCCCCGCGTTTTCGTTAAATTTTATACAACACTTGCAAA